ATACGATCATCCATCTGTTGCAATCGGTCATCGATGGTTGTGTCATTTGTAGCATTTTTTCTTTTCGGCGGCATCGTGGATCGACTCTGGTCTCTGGATATCAACTGATGTAGAACGTGAATTACGAAAGGGAACAAAAGAGAACTCTCTCTTGAACGAACACGATAAAAGTATCAGATTTCTTCAATTCATCAATGATCGATCTGCTAGAGTGAGAAAGGTAAGAATATATAGCCTAAGACCCCCACAAACCCCTAACTTCCTAGATAAGATAAATCCCATAAATAATGATTCTCCTAATCTAAATAACTTAAAATAAAGAAACATAATAATAATAAGAATAAAAAGCCATAAGATAATTAATTAAGCTTCAGCATCCAATCAAACTTGTCCAGAAAAGCCATCGCGAGCTCGTCTCCATCAAATTTGTTGCCGGGAGAAGAGCTTTTCTTGCTTCCTTGTTACCCTTTCATTGTTGCAACTTGCCTCCACTGAATTTATGATAGATCCACGAATTGTCTTTCTTGAAAACAATAGATCTGAAGGTCTTCAACAATGGATGACTTATGGTGAATTTTCTGCTTTTGGGTTATTCTATTAATAAAAAAAAGGTTGAAAGAAATAAAAGAAGAATGGAGGTGGAATTGACGTGAATTGATTTTGATTAAATTAAGGGCTAATGAGTAATTAGACAATTTCGAGGATATCCCAGCCTCATATAATATAAACAAATCAATGGATATGGAACCGGGCTTGAGCAATATCATGGACTCTTTGGATGTGAACCAAACAACTTAAACTTTCTAAATTATAAACACAAGGCTTGATATCATGGAAAGTGATTATAAAGTGATTTTAACTCAATCATTTTTTTTATTTTTTTTGATTCAACTTCAATACACACAAATTATCACAATATTATAAATATAATTAAATAATATCAATCAATCATTCTTACATATCACATCAACTATAATTCACAATTCATCTACTCACATAATTTGATCTAACCATCAATTCAGATCATTTATCTTTTACTTTTACATACAAATCAACTATGATTATTTTATATTAAATATTATTTTAATATAAACTCAAAATTTCACTAGCAATTAACTATACTACATTTTTTAAAATTAACTATGATTAACAAAAAACCAATCAAAAACTAATTAATTTATATTCAATCACACACTTACATTTCCCAAAGAAATAATGAATAAATGGCATGTGCTGACCTGGATAATAACTCTCTCTCTCTCTCTCTCTCTCTCTCTCTCTCTCTCTCTCTCTCTCTCTCCCAAAAAACAAGCTCTCTCATCAACAGAAGAAAAAAGCTTAAGACGAGGCCTCTTCTCCTATGTGCCATCATTTGCGGCTTGCTCGCTCCTTCAGCCACAGGCTGAGCCTGATGGCGGTTGCCTTCACTCTACTTGCTGATGGAAACCGTCGACGATGTGTCCCTCCACACCGTCAATATCAAAGAAATGTTCGACAAATTGCAGAGCTTCGACATAAAGCTGAATCCTGCAAAGCGTAAGTTTTGGATTAGATCAAGAAAGTTCCTGAGCTACCTTGTTACAGAGAAGGGAATCGAGGTGAATCCATAGAAAGCTAAGGCGGTACTTCAGATGCAAGCACTGAAGAACCTCATAGAAGTCCAAGTCTTGATCGGATGATTATCTGGGATAAGCAAGTTTGTTTCCCAATCCGTAGAATTTTGTTTTTATTTCCCGAGAAATAAAGAAGGGTCGAGATTCGAGTAGATACCCCAAGCACACAAGACCATACTGGCGTTGTTATCAACAGTCCAAAAATTACGAACCTATTTTCTGGCCCACAAGGTTATAGTTCGAACCAACTACCTGCTGAAAGACACCCTGGGCCGACCTTTGGCCTTATGGAAGATTGTCAAGTGGGCAGTGGAGCTCGAAAAATACAATATTGAGTTCAAAATCAAAAGGTCCATAAAATCCCAAGCATTAGCAGATTTCATACAAGTGTGCATGATGGACAAAGAGGTCAGCTAATGGCTGGTCTATGTTGACGGCTCCTTGGCCATCAGAGAGGCAAAAATAGAGGTGTTGATTGTAACACCAGAACAAAACCACATCGAGTTCTCCGTGAAACCATCATTCAAGCATTTAATAATTAAGTAAAGTGTGAGGCATTGCTAAAAGGAATTCAGCTCGTTGCCAATGAGGAACTCATTGGGTAATCTTCCATTCAACTCGTTGCTGGGGAGGGTTGTATTTAATGTACTTGGTTGTGGTGTGTATTCTTGTGTATGTGTTAGGTTCGTGTGTGCGTGTGCTACATGTTTTCAAGTTTTTCTTTGGATGTTTTTCTTCTCATTTTGGGAGCTTGCATTCTCCTTGTGGGAATATATTATCATCATGGGTAGTCGAGGCTTTCTTTGAGAATGTCTTTCCACTACATTCATCTTATGGCATGACTGGTATAATGGAATGAAATTTGGTAGGAATGGAATGATTGTGAGAAAAGAATGAAACAAATTTTATCATTTATGCGTTTGGTATGCAGAAGGAATAAGACCGGAATGAAATGGCATTAGCGTCATATATTATCATTTATCACTATTTTACAGTAAAAAATAATATTTATATTAGTGTTATTTTCTTATTTATGATAATACTAATATTATACTATATTTTAAAAATATACTATATTTTAATAAACATACTTTTGTATTGTTACACCCATCTTATATAATAAATAGGTGAATTATATATTTATATACATATTAACTATTACAAATATATCATTACATAAACCCTTATAAGCATATGTGGTCAAATATATTTTTTATAATATAATTCAGTTTATGAATAAATTTATAATATATATGATTATATAAAATAAAATAAAATTTTTCTAAACTATCTATAAATGCAATTTTTGTGAGTTTTGTTTCTATATAAGTATTTAATATATCTAATTAAAATATGACTAATAAATAAAAACATTTTTTTTTTATTTTTTGTGTGAAATTTATTTTTTAAAATGATTTTAATTAATATAATTTAATCATGATAATATAGTATATATTATATATTTATTTGTTATTATTATATTTTAATTTTATTTTTTGAAAAATTGATTCCTAAACGTATGTGAATGAGAAAACCATCTATTAGTTATGGAATGGCTAATCCCATATACATGAGTAACTGAGGCTTTCTTTGAGAATGTCTTTCCACAACATTCGTCTTTAGTGTTTTTTAGATATAATTATGTGTTCTGTTTATAACAGTAATGCTAATGAGCCAACAACCAACGAGACAGCTTCATGTGGAGTTGTCCCACATTGGAGCCATGTGAGACAGCTCCACATGAAGTTGTCCCATTGATTGTTGGCTCCGTAACGGAGCAAACAGTTAACTCCTATTCAGTGTTCACTTGTTTATACTTGTTTTGAAATGGTAGAAACTCGGGTTGTCCAACGGTTGAATAAATATTCCCCTCAAGTAATTCTATCCATTAGGTGAAAGATTCGTGTGGTCGATATTCAGTCATGGGTTTATCTTACAACCAGAAGCAAAAACCTTCAACAGTCATCTTCCTTAGTGCAAAAACCCGCCGAGCCTTCCTCTCAACTCCGACCGGTCGACATGGCCTCTCAACCGCCGCAGCTCCACTTCATCCTGTTTCCCCTCATGGCCCCTGGCCACACGATCCCCATGATCGACATTGCCAAGCTCCTTGCCCGGCGGCACACCGCCGTTTCCATCATCACCACTCCCCGCAACGCCACACGATTCGGCTCCTCGATAGACCGCGCCGCACAATCCGGCCTGCGGATCAACCTGATCCGAATCCAGTTCCCCTCTGTAGAAGCCGGCCTGCCCGACGGCTGCGAGAATCTCGACGCCCTTCCTTCACTCGACATGGCCACCAATTTCTTCACCGCCCTCAATCTCTTACAGAAGGAAGTCCACCAGGTCGGTAAATTTGTTTTAAGTTTAGGTTAATTGGTGCTTTTTGTGTTCGATTAACTCTGGCGATCGACCGCTCACCAGGTGTTCGATGAAATGTTTCCTCGGCCAAGCTGCATAATATCGGACATGGGGCTTCCGTGGACGACCCAATTGGCCGAGAAGCACGGAATCCCTAGAATCGTGTTCCACGGGACGTGCTGCCTGTCCCTCCTTTGCTCGCACAACATACGCTCCTCCGGGATCCTCGACACCCTGTCTTCGGAGGACGACCCATTCGAGGTCCCCGGTGTGCCAGGCCAGATCATGATAAGGAAATCCCAGTTGGCTGGGTCCGCTATGAAGAAGCCATCAGCCGTCATAAAGGACGTGACAGAGCAGATACGCGCGGCCGAAAAGACATCGTTCGGCGTGATTGTCAACAGCTTCGTGGAGCTCGAGCCGGATTACGTGAAGGCGTACAGTTGGGCCAAGGGCGAGCGAGTCTGGTGCGTTGGGCCCGTCGCACTGTCCAACGAAGACAGACTGGATTTAGCTGAGCGGGGGATCGGATCCTCCGCTTCTCCCGAGCACGACTGCTTGAAGTGGCTCGACCGAAAGCAGCCGGGCTCGGTCGTTTACGCGAGCCTCGGCTCGCTGGCCCGTCTGACTAGAGAACAAATGGCGGAGCTTGGGCTGGGCCTCGAGGAGTCAAACAGGCCCTTCCTGTGGGCTCTCGGGGGAGGGATGTCGGACGAGCTCGAGCGTTGGTTGTCGGAGGATGGGTTCGAGGAAAGGACCAAGGATAGAGGGTTCTTGATACGAGGGTGGGCCCCACAGGTGTTGATCCTCGCCCACAAAGCTGTGGGTGGTTTCGTAACGCACTGCGGGTGGAACTCGACGCTGGAAGGGATCACGGCTGGGGTGCCGATGGCGACGTGGCCGTTTTTCGCGGATCAATTCATGAACGAGAAGCTGGTTGTTCGAATATTGGGGGTTGGGGTGAGTTTCGGAGTGGAGGTGCCCGTGAGGTGGGGGGAGGAGGATAAGGTCGGGGTTTTGGTGAGGAGGGAAGATGTTGTGAGAGTCGTGGGGTCGTTGATGGACGAAGGGGCGGAGGAAGGAAAGGAGAGGAGAAAAAAGGCGGGAGAATTGGCGGAGAAGGCAAGACGGGCGGTCGAGGAAGGGGGGTCGTCGTTTTTGAATGTCGGCATGCTTATCGAGGAAATTAGGGGGAGCGTTGGGTAAGTGAAGGCGTGGGGATGAATGTGTGGTAAATGGAGAATGTAACTACGTAAGTAATGATGCCAAGTTGATTGTGAACATTGTTTGTACCAATAAATACTTCATTTGCTTTGGTTAAGGATTGATGGTTGACGCCAAAAAATAAAATAAAATAAAAATCTGTGTCACCGGCAGAAAGCACCGGCAATGGTGGCAATGGTGTTCTCAAGGGCGGAATTATTGTAAGAATTAAATCATGGTAAGAGAGTGATCCTTAGACTTTTATCTTATATCTAAATGTAAGATTTAGAATATTTGACAAAATGTAAGATATGAATTGTTTTTTTTTTTTGTACAAAGCGAGCGGTCATTCACAAACTAAGAGAGGCGAACATTCGGTCATTCTGTGGATAGGAGACACTTCTCAAGTCGTGCTCGATCCACGGAACTATACCAGGAGGTGGAGTAGGAAGTGTGTGATACCCAAGGGATGCTGAAGCCGCCAAAGCTGCTAAATAGTCCGCAACAAAATTAGTCTCATGAAAGATGTGAGGAATCTGCACTTACCAATCTCGAATGAGGAGCTCTCGTATCCTTAGGACTAAACCATAATGGACCCCTGCGATATCCTCAATATTCTTAGCAAATCCCACAAACGTTGGAGTTATCGACTTCAGCCTTTACCCGTCGATACTCCAAATTCCATGCGAAAGTACGCATTGCTAATTTCTTGTTTTTCTCTAAAACCAAAATAATCGGTGGGAGTAAGTATAGTTAACATTTTTATCCAAGATCCTTTCACATAAACAACCTAATATTAGAAGTAACCCCTCTTCACATGTATAGATGTCACAAAAATGCAAGTGGCTTTAATTGAAGAAAAATAATAGACAATAAGAGGGAAAGGATCGGCCATACTCATATGATCAGTGCCTTCAAATTAATATCATTCGATCATACATACTAACTAATACACTCATCCTTGTTAGATTAACATATACAATTACACGTCACCACCAATAGAATAGATGTAGTAGAATGCTCCACGTAAAGGTAGAATTATAAGAGAAATGATGTGGTTCAGTTACGAACTATTCCGTCGGAATTTGTAACCTTTAGATCATCATGTAATCGTCAAAAACAGTTGATTTAACGGTTACGAACCCCAACAAGATAGTTCCGTAACAGGATTGTAACAATCTCCCACAATTATAGTGCCAATTTGTGACACATAGGCTAGATAGCACAGCACCATGTGCTGAATGCTTCGCAGGACCAATGTGGATGAAAATTACAAGACATGACCATCTTTATAAAACTATCTAACAGCACTTTATGAAGACACGTGTAAGACCAGAATTGGTTAAGACAAATTGGCCGAATTTACATTATAGGCCTTTATCATGATTCAGAAGTGTGACGTGAGCACTTACGAAGTAACAACATGGAAAAAGATAATGGAGGCGCCGACTTAGGTTAGCTTTCTTAATTTCTTAATTTTCTTAATTTTTTTTTTCTCCGTATTAAATTAAATTAAGAAGAAAATAACAACTTATCACTAATTTAAAAAGACTTAAATGAAAAAAGAAGACAAAACCCAACTAATCACTAATTAAAAAAAGACAAAATGAAAAACAGAAGTCAAAAACACAACTAATCACTAATTAAAAAAAAAAAAGACTTCGTTAACTGCTGCCTGTTTACATAAATCAACGTGTGAGCCTTCACCAGTTGTCCGAAAACAGAGCGAAACAAAAAAAAAAAAA